GATTCAGTTTCCACTATCTGCCATGGTGCAATTTAACCTCCTCTCCCTGGAACATTAGCTGGGTCTCTGAAGTAATAGTCCAATGATGATACCACTAGGCCATCAACTCCCCCTGCATATTTTTAAGACAGAGCTCGATAAATCTTGTTCGGCAAAGGAGTTCAAGGTTATCAGGGTAGATGGCAATCTGGGATCTGAAACCCAAACAGGTCAGCTGTGATCTTATTGAATGGCAGAGCAGGCTTCAAGGGCTGGATGGTTACCTGCTGTTATTTTGCATACATATGTACTCCCTCCTTGATCATAAATGTGGTGATTTGCTCTACAGCCACTGGGAACATACCAGGACTTCGCTCGTTGGCCTTTATTCCCCCCAGTGAATTGACCAGTTATTTGACCATGGGTGGAATCACCAATGCAATATTGACCTGTTGTATTGGAGACCAGTGCATTGCACACTCCAGCAGGAATCTCTGCATGATCATCTGAACAGGAAACCTGGCTAATGCACCTACACGGCCACCCCCAAAGCTTCTCGTGTGCTGTTGTAGTTGTACCCATCCAGGCAAGTGGGGAGTATTCCATCACATTCCTGACTTGTCCCTTATTGATGGTGGACAGGCTTTGGGGAGTCAGGAGGTGAGTTACTCACTGCAGTATTCCCAGCTTCTGGCCCGCTCTTGTAGTCCCTCTGTTAATGTGGTGAGTCGAGTTGAGTTTCTGGTCAATGATTGGCCTTGAAATTTTCTTCCCACTTTGCACCCAGTCTCTGTTCAGTGCTTATTTATAACAGCTGAAAATTGAACATCTGGAGTCCCCAAGGATCTATTCTTTATCCTTCCCTCTATTTTTCACATCTCCATGTTATCCCTTGGCGCATTATCCCTGGAGCACATCATCAGGCTCCACGTGTACACTGGCATCTAACTCTGCAGCATTTGAAGGTAGTGATTTTGTCACTCTGCTTGTTTGACATTGTCTGTTTGATGATCAAAAATACCGTCCCCGATTGAATATTGGCAAAACTGAAAGCTTTTGCCTTTTACTGTGTTCCTTAGCCATTGCTTATGTTTCTGTCTTTGGCTGCTGTGTGAGATTTCACCAGATCCTTCACAAGGCACTGAGCTTCAGACCACGAGTCTTCCATTTTGTCTACCGTGTACTTTGTATCCACTTGCAACTGAGTGAAGAGTAACAGGCTTTGTGAAGGTGACTATAGTTGAGGATGGTAAGAGAGGACATCTCCCTTGTACTGTCACAGACCCAGGCCCCATTTCCATGTGATCTCAGGTCACTGTGACCAAGATCTTGCATACGTGCTCAGTAACTACAGCAAATCTAAGAAATTATTCCCTTTACTCCGTCTGTTCATTTTTGTAAAGTCACCAGCCTTCGTCCCTGCCTGAGCTGCTGTATTCCTCAACCGTGTTTGTGTCGCCTCAGGGCTTGATGATTCAGTGTTGTGAGGGGAAGATTGTGGTATACAAAACTGTGAGGGATGGAGGCAGGGTAAACAGGAGGAGCCTGTTTCCCTCGGCTGAGGGGTTAAAGACCAGGGATCATAGATTCAAGCTAATGGTGGAAGGATTAGAGGGAACGTGAGGAAAGCCTTTTCTGTGCAGAGGTTGGTGGGTGTCTGGAATTCACTGCCTGAGTTGGTGGTGGAGTTAGCACCAGAGGTGGAACAGACTCCATGGGCTGACTGGCCTAGTTTTGCTCCAGTATCTTATGGTCTAATGTTGGGTGGGTGTCTTCATTGATCCTAAAAACCCATAGCAGTGTAGCTAGCTCCTGAGCCCTGTATGGTGAGCACTGGCTCTGTGGGTTCCTGGATTTGCAGCTTAAGTGTTGTAAGCTGCAGGGCAATGGGCCGTGTGCAGGAGGATGGGATTAGAAAGGGCGTGTGGGTGTCTTTGGGTCAGCATGAACAAGATGGTCTAAATGCTCATCCATGTGTTCCAATTTCCCCTTGATCTCTTCCCCCTGCTTCCCCCCTCCGCCCCCAAGAGAAACCTCCAATCACTTCCAGCCCCACAAACAGGCTGCATTCCTCCAATTCTGGCCTCTTGGTGCATCCCAATTTCCTTTGCTCTACCATTCACAGCCATAGTCAAAGGATTTCACCAGCTCTTCTAGGAAGCTAAATGATTATAATTCAGTGGATGGAGCCCTTAATGAGGGAGTGTCAGCGAGCCATTGCTTTGAAGGGTGATGCATGTTTAGCCTGCCTCCTGTGCTTTGTTCTCCTCATTATCTTCTCTCGGCCAGCTCCCCTCATGGCTCAGCAGTAACCATTTGTACGTTAAGAGAACAAAACACAACTTGACCTTTTGTACAAAAGCAGCTAAGTGGATGCTGTGCCTTTTGTTATTATCCACTCCTGAACATAACATGGGCCGGTTTCTATTGGGGGTGGTGGAGAGTAATGTAAATGGAGAGGAGTGCAGGTTACAGATAGCTCACAGTTCTCGATAGGTCCGATATTATGACCCAGCAAGTGAAGAGCTCCCGAGGTATTCATTTGGTTGGCTGTGATTGTTGCTTATTCCAGCCTGAAACCGGTGCTTAAAAAAAAACAACGCGCAGCTTTGCTCGAGAAACATGGAACAGATTTTTTCTTATCTGCTGATTCCAGCTGGAGATGTCCTGAGGCAAAGCATGTAAACAGGGCAAGAGAAAGGATTTTGTCCTCGGTCAGCTGAGCTCAGCTCAGAGTGATCTATTTAAGACCGAGATAAATATGTTCCTTATTAGTAGGGGATCAAAGGTTATGGGGGTGGGGGGAAGGCAGGAGGATGGGGTTGAGAAATGTATCAGCCTTGATTGAATGGTGGAACAGACCCCATGGGCCGAATGGTCTAATTTTGCTCTATATCTTGTCATCTCATGTTGGGTGGGGCTCTCCATTGGTCCCATGGCAGTGTACCTAGCTCCTGAGCCCTGTATGGTGACTACTGGCTCTGTGGGTATCCCAAGACCAAAGGACCAAGCCCAACTCTGAGCTCCTGCCTAGTCAAAGACTTAGCCAACTTTATTTATTCACAGGATGTGGACATCGTTGACTTGAACAGTATGTGTTGTCCATTCCTAAATGCCCAGAGGGCAGTTAAGAGTCAATCACATTTGCTATGAGTATGGAGTCACGTGTAGGCCAAACCAAGTAAGCATGCAGCTATCTTCCCTAAAGAACATTAGTGAACCAGATTGTGTCTTTTTTCCCCCCAAAATCAACATGGTCATGGTTAGATTCTTAATTGGTGACACTTATTGAATTCACATTCCACTATCTGCCATGGTGGGATTTGAAACCAGGTCCCCAGAACATTACATGGGCCCCTCGGGATTAATTAGCGAGTAATAATACTACTAAGCCATCACCTCCCTGTCAACTTTCATCATCTATGCCTACAGGCAAGGGACAGTTTGGTGCATGTGGAATGCACCTCAAAAGGAGACCCTATATCTGTAGGAAAATAAAAAGGGTGAAATTGGTGTTAGGAAGTAACCACTGGGTGGGGAAATGAAATGTGTGTTTAATACCGGTTGAAGAGCGAGTGAGAATTCTTTGTCCTCTCTGGGAGAGATGTGCCATTTTAGACCAGTGGTGGGCCTTCCTTGGGATCAGAGATTCTGGGGCAGAAGTATTGCCGACCAATCAGTGGCCAACAGCAATCCTTTGCATGTGGTGCTAGTGGGAGAGCAGTGCACCCTGGGACAACTCTCGGGCTGTAGGCTGCAGATTGACCGGGGTCAGGATGGGTGTCACAGAATGGGTGAATATTTTGGTTGTGTGGGCCCCACTTACTGGTCAGGTCCTTTGATCAGAGACTCAGTGCCTTCAACTTAGGGAGCACCCCTCGGGAAGCCCATGAGTTTTGGACAGAAAGGTTTCCCACATAAGGAACATATGTCACTTTGTGTAAATGAGCCACAGTCTAGCTGTTAGCACACTTGGAATTGTTCATCAAGCGTTTGCTAAATTGCAGAATCGTATCTCCGGGGTGACATGTTCTTTGGGTTTTATAGTCAGGGCTGGTTGAGGACAGTCTGTATTCTGCCTATGACAAGCAACTGAAGGAACCTACTGTGTCATTCGATCAGCAAATCATTTGCGGCGTAAGGTCCACATCCTTCAATTGTGCCTTTTTCAAGACCCTGAGGAGCCTATGACGCTCTGTTGCTGTCTCATGACGATGCCACGGCCAGTGTCAATTTGTAAACCACTCAGAACCTTTTCGTCCTTCTGTATAAATTGTTGTGATGGTTTTCAAATTTGGCGTGCTAGCGATGCTCCTGAAAGTGCAAGATGAAAAGCTTTGAAAGCATGTTTCTCTTTTCAGCAAGATATGAACTCTGTACAATCAAGTGATATTTTATATAAATATTGTCCAGTTATGGACTATTGAGCTTTTCGCGCAGTAGCCAGGGATTCAGCTCCCAGTTTGGTTATTAATGCATGAGCAGTTATTATTGGCATAGAAGGGATACTATTTAGCCCATTGAGTGAATGCTGGATCTCTGTAGAGCATTCACTCAGTTCCATTTCCTTGCTCTAATCTTACAGGTTAATAATCCTCATATCCACCCTTTTGAAAGCATTGATCGCTAATCATCTCTAAACTTGTTATAATCCTGTATCCCTCCATCAAGTTGCCCCTCAATTTCCTTTACCTCAAAAAGTGAGCCCAGCTTCACTCCTCCAACCATGTGAGTAAATCTCCTGTGCACCCTCATATCTTTCCTAAAGGCTGGACCCCAGAACTTGTTCAAAGCTCTTACAGGTTTTGTTAATACAGTGGGATCAGTCTTATGAAGCATGAGTTGCCAAAGTGCACTCATCTAATGTTTAGTTTCCTGTAAGTGATTGAGTGGAAGGACTGGCCTTGGCTGGTTGAATAATATAAAATAATGGAAGCTCTCTGGATGGATATAAAACCTCACTCATGTTGCTAATAGCCAGCAGCACTATAAATGACAACCCATATTCTCTTCTCCATAAGCAGGCAGCATTGGAAGCTTCTTATTGGATGGAGAGGATGGTGCTACAGTGGAGGACATTAGCAAATGGACTGTTGACGACGTCTGTAACTTCATTAATGGTCTCTCTGGCTGTGCGGAATATACACAAGTAAGTGATCTGATCTTTAAAAGCTGTCGCTGCCTCCTCTCTGAATAAAGTTGCCATTCAAACTCAGTTTTAACCCATTGCACCTCAACAGCATCGCAGTGTGAATTTTGCATCTGTGTCAGTGTGAATGGAGGATAGGAACAGGTGCCTAGTGCCCGTACCATTGACTGCCAGTTAGAGAAGGGGAGACATAAAGCTTTTCTCTATAATGCTTGACACTGCAGTTCAGTCTCAGACACATGGGAGCATTCCCCTGTGCACCCATGTTACCCACCAGGTGAGGTGTTCTGTCGCAGTCAAAATACTTTTCTCGAGGGCTCTATTCCATTCCGAACAACTCCTTTACCTTCTGCAATACTACCTTCCATTTTTGTGTTGAATTATAAGGTTTTCTTCTTTAGATAAACAAGTTAAGGATAGTGACTGCTTACATGCATCGATTCCAACTTAAAAATTTAGTATATGTCAATAAGTTGCTTTTAATTTTTTTTAATAAGTAAATCTCCCATAAACCATTTCTAAGATAGAAGAATATGAACTGACACAGTTGACAATGAATCATTCAACTTTAGCCAATGATGAACTGGGACGGGAGCTTCCAATTGGAAATCTGACAACTAAAAACAAATCAAGTGAATTCCAGACATTTTCTCAGGTAAAATATTAAATAAGTACCGTTCCTTAGCTTCACACAGCTATCTACTCAACATAATCAGCCCCTCTTCCTTGTCTTTTAACTTGGTTAAAAACGGAATGCAAAATTACAAATTGCCAATGGAGGGGTTTGAACTCATCTCCATTGTAAGTCCAGGCCTCTGATTATGAGGCGATTAACATGACTACTTTATAAACTGCTGTGCCCATTAATGGCACACTGGCGGTGTTCCTACCTCTCTAGGCTAGAGGATCAGTGTTAAAAATCTGGGTTAAAGAGGGGTGACATGGTGGCTCAGTGGTTAGCATTGCTGCCTCAAAGCATCAGGGACCCGGGTTTAATTCCACCCTTGGGTGACTGTGTGCGCGTAGAGTTTGTACGTTCTCCCCGTGTCTGTGTGGCGTTTGCTCTGGTTTCCTCCCACGATCCAAAGATGTGCAGGTTAGGTGGATGGACTATTGCCAAAGTACCCATAGTGTGAAGTGGGAGTTGCAGAGTTACAAGGATAGAGTAGGGGTGTGGGTCTAGATGGAAGGGTGTTCAGAGGGTTGGTGTGGACTCGATGGGCCGAATGGCCTGCTTCCACAATGTACAGATTCTATGAGAAAATCCCACCTACATCATTGCTGTCCTTACCTGGTCTGGCCTACATGTGACTCCAGATGCACAGCAATGTGGTTGACTCTTAACTGCCCTGTGGACAATTAGGGATGGGCAATAAATGCTACCTAGCCAGTGACACCCTCAACCTGTGAAAGAATAAAGGGAAAAAAACAGGTTGATTAAAATAAATATATATGTGCCCAATTATATGAATTTTTATTATAAACCAGTGTCTTGAAACCGCCTTGAAATATAACAGCCTGAACATTGAAGCTATCAAGGAGAGAGACATACAGGTTGTTCTGGTAAAGCTTTGATCTGAACCAACTGGATTCATTTGAAGGGCTCTTGTGGTGCGATGGTACTGTCCATAACTCTAAGCCAGGATACCTGGATTCCAGTTCCATCTGCTCCAGAGGCGTTTAGTAACATCACTGAACAGGTTGGTTAGAAAATTTCCAAAGGAGGATTGGTGGCATTAAGCTAACTCAGCCAGCCCTGACCCTAAACCACATGGTAGCAGATACACACACATATAACGTTTGTTAGGTCTTTTTGACAGTTTCATGAAGTGGTTAAATCAGCTGCTGCATCACACTTTCCTGATTCCCTTTACTGCTTGTGATTCTACCGAACAAATCTGAATGAGCTGATAGAGGTATAATGGGATGAATGGCCTCCTCCTTTGCTGCAATGATTCCGAGATTCTGTGAAATATGGGTTGAGACGTTTTTTACCTGTGCACTGCTTCAGTGAGCACTGATCATAGAGTCATACGGAACGGAAACAGACCCTTCGGTCTGACCAGCCCGTGCTGACCATAATCCCATATTAAACTAGTTCCACCTGCCTGCTCCTGGACCATATCCCTCCAAACCTTTCCTATTCATGTACTTATCCAAATGTCTTTTAAACGTAATTGTACGTACATCCACCACTTCCTCAGGAAGTTCATTTCACACGCAAACCACCCTCTGCGTCAAAAAGTTTGCCTCTCATGTCTTTTTTTAAATCTCTCTCCTCTCACCTTAAAAATGTGCCCCTGAGTCCTGAAATTCCCCATCCTAGGGAAAAGACAACTACCATTAACTCTACCTATATCCCTCATTATTTTACAATCTACTATCAGGGTGCCTCTCAACCTCCCACGCTCCATTTAAAAGGTCTCAGCTTATCCAGCAATAATAACTCTAACCTCCCATACGCGACAACATTTTGCCAAATCTCTTCTGAACCTTCTCCAGCTTAATAATATCATTGTTACAGAGATAGTAGGAACTGCCGATGCTGGAGAATCTGAGACAACAAGGTGTAGAGCTGGATGAACACAGCAGGCCAAGCAGCATCAGAGGAGCAGGAAGGCTGACGTTTCGGGCCTAGACCCTTCTTCGGAAAATTCAGAAATTAATAATATGATTGATTGTTTAATGTACAGGTCTTCAGAGAGCAAGCCATTGATGGAGAGACATTGCCTCTGTTAACAGAGGAGCACTTACTGAACACCATGGGCCTGAAGCTGGGACCAGCCCTAAAAATACGAGCACAGGTAATGTTTCTCTTTGACCCAGCAAGTCGAGCACACTTTATACGTTCCACATTCTAATGGCTTAAGTGATGCAGTGATCATAAACGTAAAAACTAGGAGCAGGAGTAGGCCATTCAGCCCTTCGAGCCTGCTCCACCATTCAATAGGATCACGGCTGATCAACCAACTCAGTCCCCTGTTCCTGCTTTCTCTCCACACTCTTCTGATCCCCATAGCCCAAAGAACGATATTTATCTCCTTCTTGAAAACATTCAGCGTTTGTGCCTCAATTGCTTTCTGTGGCAGGGTGTGCCATAGGCTTTCCGCTGTCTGGGTGAAGAAATTTCTCCTCATCTCAGTCCTCCATCACAGAATCACTGCAGTGTGGAAGCAGGCCATTCAGCCTATAGAGTCCACACTGATCCTCCAAAGAGCATCCCACCCAGACCTATCTCTGTAACCCTGCATTTACCATGGCCAATCCACCTAACCTACACATCCCTGGTCACTGCAGGACAATTTACCATGGCCAATGCACCTAACCTGCACATCTTTGGACTGCTCTACCCCATATTCTTCAACTGTGACCCTTGCTTCTGGATTCCCCCTGTCATCAGGAACACCCTTCCTGCATTCACCCAGTTTGTGTTCCGGTTAGGATTTTACAGGTTTCTATCAGACTCCCCCCTCATTTTTCTAAACTCCAATGAATGTAGTCCTAACTGCTCCACTCTCTCTTCATACATCAGACCTATTATCCCAAGAGTCAGCATAAAGATGCAACCAATTAAAATAAAGCCTGTAGCTTCCTTAAAAAGGCCGGGGCTGCATGCAAGGGTTTCATCTAATTGCCTATCAAGTACTTGCTGACAGCTAAGTTTGTTCAGGCACTTGCCTCAGATAGGATTACATCCGTGTACAACCCCAAAACAGTCCATTTGGCCCAGCCTGTCCAGATCCTCCTCCTGTTCTTTTTAATCTAAATTTATCATCGTGACCATCTGTTCCTATTTCCCTCAAATGCCCATCAAGCTTCACTTTATATGCATGCACACTGTCTGCTTCAATCCCAGCAAGATTCACATTCTCATCTCCCTTTGTTCAGTCAGCCAGCCCACTTTTATGTTGTTTTAGGTTCTTGCTGTTGTATAATCCTTCACACTGAGCAGCACAGATAGCCCTGCCCTCCATCCTTACTCCATCGCCAGGTCACAGCATGGATAGGGATGGAAGCAGGCCATTCAGCCCATTCATTCAGTTAGGATGCATGGCCCTGCCATCACTGTTGTTCCTTAAATGGTTCCAGTCCACTCCAGATGCCCATTTCAGGCGTATGATTCCTTACAAAGTTAATTCCTTCCAGTAGGTCCCGAACCGGCCTGTTGTGGCCCTGTTTCCCGACTGACACAATGCACAAACATTCAGAATAACTTGTCATCTTATGTACACACATGCCCAACAGGAACTACTGTGGAAGAAATGATCACGTCTTATCCAGTTCACTTTCTATTGTTGTGGGGGCTGTACAAAACAATTGGGGATATAACACCGTTACCTTTTGGGTCCTGCTAACTTTCATAAGGACAGCTGCTATTTGCCATTTGAAATGCTGTTTTAGACTCTCATGTAGATCAGACTTTCTGTAGGGATTCTACAATCTTTATTCAGGTGTGCTGGGTGTAAAGATTGTAAGTGTCGCTTTTACACCAGTGAACCTGATGTAACCACCTCAAGTTGCTTAGATATTTTTGCTCAATGTTCCTTCATCACAATCCTTCACTTTTTTTTTCTCATTATAACGTTCAGTTTAATTCTCATGTCAACATTCATCCTGCCAGTTACATCTCAGGGGACACAGTGACTGATGGGGCTGTCTTACAGTCTTTGGTTAAACTAGTAATAACAACAGTGTGTTCTTATTATACTGTAAATTTAGAAGGAAATTATACCCTAACATTTTTAAATAACTTCAAAATTCAGACAATAAACAAGTTCAAATCAACTCCATCCAATAGAATACTCAAAATGTAATCTTGTGGAATGCTGAGGCTTTATTGAAGAATTAATTCTGTGCTTTTAATATTTAAGTAATCAATCAAAAGACAGATTGTAGTTCATTAACAAAGTTAACTTGGTTAGAGCATTTTATTCACTTTTATTAGTCGCAATATTTATTTCACAGTTGTGAAATTATTTTATGAAATGTTTTATCACCGAGTTCTCCCATAATTTTTTTTTTACAATGCTGCGTTCCTCTCAAATCCAACTTAAGGCAGATGGGAGCTGCTGGGTATGGGGCTGCAGACTAGAATGGATCTAAATCTCTCCAATTTGTAATCTCCATGTCCCTAAAACACACACATTGGAACAGGAGGATGTCATTTAACGTTTGGAGCTGATTCTATTATATATCCATGGTTTAAACGTACCTCACATCTATTTTCACAACTCTTTGAACCACATTCCTTGACACCTAAGAAAACAATCTGTTGATCTCAGGCTTAGAAAGGTTTAATACTCCCTACACATACTGCCTTTTTGAGCCAAGCGATCTTGATTTCAGCTCCATTTAAGATCATGCATAGGCCATTCAGCCTTTCAAGCCTCTTTTTGGAATACTGCGATCAATTCTGGTCTCCCTGCTATAAAAAAGATGTTGTTAAAATTGGAAGGGTTCAGAAAAGATTGACAAGGATGTTCCCAGTGTTGGAGGGCTTAAGCTATAGGGAGAGACTGAATAGGCTGGGGCTATTTTACCTGGAGCATCGGAGGCTGAGGGGTGACCTCATGAGGTTTATAACATCATGAGGGGTATGGATAGGGTGACTAGCCAAGGTCTTTTCCCCAGGGTGGGGGAGTTCAAAACCAGAGGGGATAGGTTAGAGGGGAAAGATTTAAAAGTGATCTAAAGGGGAACTTTTTCACACAGAGGATGGTGCGTGTATGGAATGAGCTGCCAGAGGAAGTGGTGGAGGCTGGTACAATTACAACATTTAAAAGGCATCTGGATGGGTACATGAATAGGAAGGGTTTTGAGAGATATGGACCGAATGCTGGCAAATGGGACTAGATTAATTGAGGATATCTGGTCAGCACAGATGAGTTGGACCGAAGGGTCTGTTTCCGTGCTGTGCAGCTGTGTGACTCTAAACCTGCTCTGCTATTCACCGAGATCCTGTCTGGTTTTGATTGTGGCTTCAACTCCACTTTCCTGCCCGACTCCCAGAATGCATGACCTCTTTGAAGATTATGCGTCCAATAAAAGCAGTGTTGCTGGAAATCAGAGAACGATAGATAAACTCACAGGTCTGGCATCATCTGCAGAAAGGGAAAGAGTTTAAATTTAAAGTCCAGTGTGACCCTTCTCCTGGTTTGCAGAAACAAAGATGAAACTCAAAACGTTCACTGTTTCTTTCTCCTGTGATGCTTCCAGACCTGACTTTCTCCAGCACTTTGTCCCAGTCGGCATTGTATATTTATTCAGATTCTCAAATAAGACCCCCAATCTCCACTACTCTCTGGAAGAGAATTCCAAAGTCTCTTTAAAGAGATTCCTCCTCACCTCAGTCTTAACTGGGGACCCTTTATTTTGAAAATGTTCCCCTAGTTTGATTTTGCTACAAGGGAAACATCCTCTAAGAATCTGCCCTGTCAAATCCCTTAAGTATATAACATTTCAATGAGATCAGCTCTCACTTTTCTAAACTCCTCTGAGCATAGATCGAACCTTTCACCATAAGGCAACTCCTCAACTCAATAAGCTCCTTCTCTGAGATGGCTTCGATGCAAGTAGTCCCACCCTAAATAAGTCTCATCAGTGGCCTGCACAGTGTTACCGAACTTCCTGAATCTTATAATCCAGTCCCTTTGCAGTGAAGGAATAAGGAAGGGTTTTTAGGCGAGACAAAGTTTCCTTTACTCACAATATCATGCTGTCTCTCCCCTTGGAACACACAATTTTGCTGGAATAAGGAAATTCTCTTGTTGCTAAGTTAAAATGACCAGAGATGACCCTGTACCCAAGCTCAGGACCAATGCACAAAGCATAACTGTGACGGAGGTAGAATGAGAGAAAGGGTAGACCTTATGCTCTGAGGCTGCTTGGTCATGCAATAAGGTCATGACTGACTTACCCCAACTTCAATCTCTTTGCACCATTGAGGCCAAGTCTGTAGCCTTCTAATGTGTAGATGTATTTCCCAGCAGGATGTAGCAGATAGCAATATGGAACTGCTGCCTTTGCACTCCCAGTTCAGCACAGTGGAAATCTGTTATCCTTACCCGTTCTGGCCTACATGTGACTCCAGACCCAAAGCAATGCGGTTGGCACAGTGGTATAGTGGTTAGCTCCACTGCACCTCAGCGCCAGGGATGTGGGTTTGTTCCAGCCTTGGGTAACTGTCTGTACGGAGTTTGCACGTGTCTGCGTGGGTTTCCTCCGGGTGCTCCGGTTTCCTACCACAGTCCAAAGATGTGCAGGCTAGGTGGATTGGCCCATGGGAAATGGCCGTAGTGTCTAGGCATGTGCAGGTAGGTTAGCCATGGCAATTGCAGGGTTACAGGGATAGGGTAGGGGGTTGGTTCTGGGTGGGATGCTCTCCAGAGCGTTGGTTTGTACTTGAAGGGCCTAATAACCTACTTCCGCACTGTAGGGATTCTGTTCTGTGACTCTTAACTGCTCTCTGAGCAGTTAGGTACAGAAGATAAATCCCGGCCTAGCCAGCATCAGCCACATCCCATCAATAAATAAATAAAAAAGAATTTTAAGACCTCTACTGTTATCTGCATCTAAAACCAACAGATTTATGTTGGGCAAGTATTCCAAGGCCTACAGAAACCAGGTGGGTCAGGGGGATCGAGACACAGATCAGCCATGACCCGGTTGAACTGAACAATCTCAAGGGGCTGAATGGTCTCCTGTTGTTCTTCCCAGTATGAAATGCTAGCTTTTAGTCACCGTGGTCTTGAAGTAGTGCAGGGTAATGGCAGCAGATGGTAATGTGGATATTTTTTGTTTTCCCCCTCACAGGTTGCCAAGAGGATCGGGCGAGTGCTGTACATGGCCAGTTTCCCACTGCCACTGGCACTGCCACCAGCGGCACTGAGGCCGCCCGAGAGAGACCTCGCTCCCACGGAGAACCGCCCGTCGTCCACCGGCAGTGTAGCCTCGCCATACTGTGGCCTCCAAGTCAGCCGCATCTCCCCGAAGCAAGAAAATGGCAGCGCCTCCGTGATGGGAATTGGGGATCTCACCAAACCACAGTCTTGAATGGGACCTTTGCTTCGGAGAGAAAGTCAAGTTGCTGTTATTTGAAACCAAAGTATTTATAGGATTGCCAACTTCATCAGTTGACTGCATTCCCTCTTTTTTTTCTTTTTGGAAGAAAAATACAACACTCCGGCTTTCTAAACACGTTTTGACAAAAAAACAAAGTACGGTCACACACATTCCTTTTTCTTTTCCCTTTATCTTCGAGACTACAGTTTATCCTGGAAAGCTATTGAAAAGCTGCAGAAAACAGAACCTATAAATTGACGGAGGAAGAATACAAAAGGGACAGGACGTTGGTTGAATGGAGGAGTTGGTGAGGCTATCTCAGCTCGCCGACAGGGGAGAGAGAAACCAGCCTCCGTTTCTGCTTCAAGCTGAAAGACACCCCCCACCCACATTTCTTTGTTTCTCGGAACTGAGAGGGGGAACAAAAATAAATAGAACTGTGCACTTGTACCAAAAAAAGATTTCTATATCACAGACCTGGGATTAAACATTTAATGTAAAAAAAAATTTCATAAGCACTCATTTTGACTCATAATGCTAGTGTCTATGCATTTGTCAAGTGCTAAACCAAAGATAATGGGTTGTTGGTCTGTGTTTACATTACATTTCTAAATGGTACAATGGTTTTTTTTTGTCTGCAGGACACAATTTAAAAGTGCCTCACTGTAGAGGTTTAATCACTACTCTAGCACACTTAAACAAATCAGACAGGACCACAACTGCACAGGTATGAGAGTTTAGAAGGTGGTTTTTAAAATGACCAATTCAAGATAATAGCTATTCATTATCTGGACAGCAAGTTGTATGAGCAAAACTAGTTACAAAGACAATTTTGGTACTTATTTTGTTTTTTTTTGTTGTTGTGTAGTTGCACGTTTTTGAATTTTTTGGGCTGGGTGGGAATAGGGAAAAAGAAATGTAAAAACTGCTAGGGGAAAGTTTCTCATCCTTTTTCATTGCTATTCAAACCTTAATTGCTGCTTTAAAGCAATCAACATAAGGAACATTTATGTTATTTATGGAAATTCTGTTGGTAAGTCGAATATGTTTAGCACTATATATATGGTAATATTCAGCCCTAAAAGGGTGGTATAAGAATAATTAAAAAAAAATCAAAAAATTGTTGTTCCTTTAGCTGGTTTTGGCCATACTGCATCAAACTATCATTAAATGTTTTGCAGTTGTAAACAATGAGGATATGGTGATTTGTAAAATAATTTTAGCCTATTTGTTAATTTGCTTTCCTCCTTGTCTTTCACTTTTAGTGAAATAAAGCCCCCCACAAAAAAAAGGTACAATTTAGTGTTTTGTTGGAATGTGGAACTTTGCCAGCCTTTTGTTTGTTTTAATGTTCATCTCTCATGCTGCTTTCCCCTTTCCCTGGACAATTTCTTTGGGACCACAAACTCCCCTCAGCTCATTTAAAATAACAAACACAGGAACAAAAACAAAGTTGCTGGAAAAGCTCAGCAGGTCTGGCAGCATCTGTGACGGAGAAAACAGAGTTAACGTTTCGGGTCCGGTGACCTTTCAAAATAATTTTCATTTAAAATAACTTGTTTCTAACTTGTGCATCGCTGAATGAAAAAAGGAGAGAGATGCAAACACATCACTAACTCTCTTCATAAGCCAAACCTGATCCAGAGCCTGTGACGGAAAGATTATACCTGGTTTTTAATCAACGACAGGATTTCTGTATCACCTCCATCCACACAGGCTGCAGTGCAGTGATACAAGAAATACTTATGAGCTGGGAGCGTATTGTCTGTGATTTTTCTCCCTGTGTCCAATGATGTTGGAATCTGGGAGGCAAGATAACAAAAGGTGTCCTCTACAGGCCAACAAAGTTTCTCAATTAGCAGGATAGTGTCCTGAGCAGCAGTGAGACTCCAACGCTAATATCCATGCTAACAAGCACTGTCACCTGCTTTGTCCTAAATTTTAGTCAGATAAACTATACAAGTTTTGTATTTGAACAGGCGCTTAACAGATATCCTCTTCACTACATAAATTGGCAATATCTCACAAATACATGAAAATAGCTGGAACTTGAAATTCCAATGACTCTGTTCCATTGGGGAGGCAATGGCCTAGTGGTATCATTGCTAGACAATTAATCTAGAGACCTAAATTAGGTCCTGAGGTCCAAGGTTCGAACCCTTTTATGGCATTGGGTGAAATTTGAATTCAATACAGATCTGGAATTAAGAGTCTAATGATGACCATGAATCCATTTGTCGATTGTTTGGGAAAAACCCATCTGTTTCTCTAATGTCCTTTAGGGAAAGAAACTGCCATCCAGACCTGATCTGACCTATGTGACTCCAGACCCATGGCCAATGTGATTGACTCTTAAACTGTCCTCTGGGCAATTAGGGATGGCCAATAAATGCTGGCCCAGCCATTGACGCCCTCATCTGGTAAATAAATCCAAAAAAAAAAATTCTTGGTGCTGCCTATCCTAACATCTGGAATGCAGAAACTGTTCTGAATTTCTGGACATGGCAGAGATAGGCCAGATATTCATTACAGTGCATATGGTCGGCATGGACACATTGGACCAAAGGATCTGTTTCTGTGCTGTACAACTCTATGACATTCATTCTGAAACAATGGTAGGCAGACTCAGCCAGGACCAAATGAAAATAATTGGTTCAGGTCACAGCAGAACATGATCCAAGACCACTAGCCCTGAGGCCTAATTACTACAAGATGAAGGAGCACAAGTAGGCCATTCATTCCATCGAGTCTACTCTGCTATTCAATGAGATAATCCTCCACTTTCCAGTCCTTTCCCCATAACCCTTCATTCCCTCTCTAATTAAAATACTGTCTGTTGCAGTCTTGAATATCAGGGCGGCACGGTGGCTGAGTGGTTAGCACTGCTACTTCACAGCGCCAGGAACCCGGGTTCAATTCCACTCGCGGGTGACTGTCTGTATGGGGTTTGCACATTCTCCCCATGTCTGCATGGGTTTCCTCCGAGTGCTCCAGTTTCCTCCCACAGTCCAAAGATGTGCAGTGTAGGAGGACTGGCCATGCTAAATTGCCCATAGTATTCAGGGATGTGTAGATTAGATGGGTTATAGGGGGATGGGGATGGGTCTGGGTGGGATGCTCTGAGGGTTGGTGTGGACTTGTTGGGCCTGTTTCCACACTGTAGGGATTCTATGATCTATGATGACACTTAATGACCCAGGCTCTCTGCTGTAAAGAATTCTGCAGATTCACTGAGGATGAGAAATTCCTCCTCAACTCTGTCTTAAAGCCAAGCTGTCAGCTACTGTAGGATTTCAGAGGCCTAGGGAGGTGTCAGGTGAGTTAGGCGGGGATTGGAGGGGAAGAAACAGGTTGGTTATAGATCCACACATTTCCGGCCATCCCCAAAGAATGGCAGCATGGAAGCCTGACTGAACTAGACCCAACCATTGTCTGCTGATGTGGCAAGTAATTCATCCCATTTCCAGTCAGGACCTGATGAGAATTTTGGACCCAAAAAGGTTTAATTAAATGGAATTCTTAGCCATTTTATGATTCAGACAGCATGCAGTAAAGGTACAATGCCTGGGACTGAGGGGCAGGAGGTGCTTGCTTTAGGGAAGCTGGGTCGTTTGTTGTGAACACGAATAGACTTAGGGAGAGAACCCAAACAGTTTCGCTGGCATTGAGTGTCTCTCGAGGCTGCAACAAAATTTCTGTGAAAATCAAATCAACGCCACAACATGGGAAGCAGGGGAACAGAACCAACTTCAGACAAATGAAATACGATTTACTCAAAAATACCACCGGGGTGGGTCAGGGCTTTCAAGCAAGTTTGTGAGTGAGCCAAGTGTCAAGTGAGAAAACTCAAAGTGTACAGTTAATCAGTGAAGTCAAATTGCAGCATGTCGAAACCTTCCCTGTACATGTAACTGTGCAAGTAAAAACACTGAACCTCACTCGAACAAACTTTTACCCGTTTGTACGTTGGTGTTAGCCATTTGTAATGGTAGTCAAAGGAAAAGCAATCGCGCCATTTACCATTTGTAATGATGTAAAGTTCACTGGAATCGGAGAACTTTGATAGGCCCCAGGTTTGACATGGTCCTGTTCTGGACATGCTTCAGACAAGCAGCACTCTTCTGGAGGAAACCAACATGATGAAGCGATGGAGAAATAAACTGTAATGAAGCTTGTGTGTGGGTGACAGAGATCGAGCGTGTGTGTGACGGTGTGCATGTGTGAAACGGTGTGTGAGAGAGAGCTAGTGTGCGCTTAAGACCATAAGATATAGGAGCAGAATTAGACCATTCAGCCCATCGAGTCTGCTCTGCTATTCAATCATGGGTGCTATGTTTCTCAACCCCATCCTCCTGCCTTCTTCCTGTAACCCTTGTTTCTCTCACTAATCAAGAACCTACCTATCTCTGTCTTAAATGCACTCAATGACTTGGCCTGCTTCTCTGACTATGTCTGTCTGTGTGATTGAATATGTGAATGTACGTGTGTATGTTTTTGTGCAAGTCTGTGTGCACACTTCTATAACGCAAATCCTTTACCTCCCAAAACATAGTGAACGCCCATCTTTATTAAGGCTGCAGGCAAAGATGGAAGGGTCAGTGAAGGAGAAAGGAGGGGTCATTCACTCTCTCGAGCCTGTCCAAAGATGTGTGAGCGAGGTGGATTGGCCATGCTAAATTGCCCGTAGTGTTCAGGGATACGTAGATTATAGTTATAGGGTATTAGGGGATGGGTCTGGGTGGGATGCTCGGATGGTCGGTGTGGGCTTGTTGGGCCGAAGGGCCTGTTTCCACAGTAGGGGTTCTATGATCTATGATCATTTAGTTAGAAGGTTGGTGATTTGTACCTCAACCTTATTTACCTGCTCCTGTCTCAACACACTTCCCTAACAAAAACGAAAACAAAGTTGCTGGAAAAGCTCAGCAGGTCTGGCAGCATCTGTGGAGGAGAAAACAGAGTTAACGTTTCGGGTCCAGTGACCCTTCCTCAGAACTTCCCTAACAGAAGCCTGTTGTCTCATCTGACCCTGAGCAACTATTGTTTTTGCGGGGGGAAGAGAGCGCAACATTTCCTCCAGCTTTTGTTTGAGGAAGGGGCTTTTTGATTTCATGTCTGATTAGTGAGGCTCTAATTTTACAGTTTATGCCCTCTTCTTCCTGACTCCCTCACCAGGAGAAATAAATTCTTTGTCTTTAACATAATCACTGCTGATTTTTGATTTCACAACCAGTGCTTCTTTGATCCTCAACTGATGAGAAAAAATGAACAATTAAAAACACTTAAAAGGATAAAGATGCAATGACTTAGAAGAAGAAATGGGGATCCCACAGAAACTATAAAATTCCAACAGGGAGTAGACAGGGAAGAATGCTCTCTATGATTGGGGAAGGGTCACAGTCTTCAGGATGTAAGGTAGGCCATTTGGGACTGAGATGAGGAGAAATTTTTTCACCCAGAGAGAGGTGAGCCTGTGGAATTGTGCCACAGAAAGTGGTTGAGGCCAAAACAATGAAGGTTTTCAAAAAGGAGTTAGATATAGTTCTTAGGGCTAAAGGGATCAAAGGGTATGGGGAGGAAATGGGAGCAGGGGATTGAGTTGGATGATCAACCATGATCATATCGATTGGTGGGGCTGGCTCATTGGGCCGAATGGTCTACTCCTGTTCCTATTTTCTATGTTGCTGTTTCCGTTTCCTCCCAAACTCCTCCATTTTTCATCTTCCAGCTGGGGTCGGGTTTCATAGAGTCCCTCCGCACCAGAGCCACACTCCAGTGGCTAATCTCTGTGGCTGAGACTAGACTGTGAGGACGGACAGGCAAGGCCCCAGATCAGAGTTTGGAGCTGCCCTCACTAAGCGGCCAACACCAGGCAGCAGTCAGCTGGGGTACCTGGACGCAGCGAGGTGCTAAAAATCCTGGCACATTTTCCCCTTCACAGAGGTACACTGAACCCAAATGTAAAACCAGCTACTGCTCTGTTTACCTCAAGCACGAGTAACTGCTGTTACAAAGATAGTAGGAACTGCAGATGCTGGAGAATCTGAGATAATAAGGTGTAGAGCTGGATGAACACAGCAGGGCAAGCAGCATTAGAGGAGCAGGAAAGCTGACGTTTCGGGCCTAGACCCTTCTTCAGAAAATGGCTTCGCAGTGGGGTTAAAATTGTTTCAGAGATAGTAGGAACTGCAAATGCTGGAGAATCTGAGATAATAAGGTGTAGAGCTGAATGAACACAGCAGGCCAAGCAGCATCAGAAGAGCAGGAAGGCTGATGTTTCGGGCCTAGACCCTAAGGCCCGAAATGTCAGCTTTTCTGCTCCTCTGATGCTGCTTGGCCTGCTGTGTTCATCTAGCTCTACACCTTGTTAACTGCTGTTACAATCCTGGATTATACTCAGGGGCAGCGATGCACTCAGTATCAGTCCTCATAAACTATTCTAGAAATAATGACTCAAATTTCTTGAAAATGATACAAAACAGCTCCGCCAATGCTTTTATTTCAAAATAAAATAACTATAGACTGTTGGGAAATGACACAGAGTAAGGAAGCACAGGGCTCAGTCTGACAATGACGAAATAAAATTACAAACAAAAGTTTGGAAATTGTGGATCAGGGCTAGCTGTACAGATTTTTCCCAATGTGCCGCAGCCTTTTCAAAGGGCAACTTCCTGTGGATCCATGCTCATTGTTCCTGGTCCAGTGGAGCACAATTCCAGTGGCTACAGACTTGATCAATTTCTGTACTGGGTTGTTATTGATGTAACTCTTGTGAAGCATCAAAAAGTTAAAGGTTAATCTACATGTGAAAGTCTAAGGGATACAAATGGTTGAAGATAATTTAGGCAGACGATCATTTTCACCATTTCATCTGTCGATGACTTTTCAAGTTTGATATAAATGGATTCCTTGCACATTGAGTCTTTTGCTCCTTTTAAGACTGGGCAGTTCAGAGGCATCCAAACACTACTTGTGACAACAACACCAAGCATAGAATTTCCGCCAAAGCCAGGATTCACATACACCTATTCCATCAGTCTTCATCAGAGAACTCCAAATCTTCGACAATATCTTCATCTCCTTCTGTGAGTGCCTTCAAGTCAGCCTGTGACAATTTCTTTGGAGCTTTGCTACTGGTTTGTGGAGAACCATCTGCATCAAAATTCAATGTGTAAACAGGTCATTAAAAATGTTAATGGGATCAGGTGGACGGATGCAACTTTACAGAAGTTACACATAAATTCCATAGCTCACACAGACTAGATAGAGAAGGATGAAAATATTGACGTCATCTTTATAAATGACTTTCACCTTCCTAGTTAAAAGCTTTGTCAAAACAATCTATTCTGTCAGGGTTGTTATTCTTTTGAGCTCTTCTTCAAAAGGCAATGGAAGCAGAGGCTTCAAATATTTTTATGTAAGGTGGATAGATTCTTGGTAAGCAAGGGAAAGTGAGAAGTTATTGGGCTAGGGGCAGGAATGTGGTTTTGTGGTTCTAATCAGATCAGCTGTGATCTTATTAAAATGGCAGAACAGGTTCGAGGTGCCAAATAGCCCACTTGTGTACCTCGTCATAGGTTCACATGGACCTGTTCAATATTGAAGCTCAGTTACCCCAACTTTAATGTAGGATTCCATATTGACCAATAATGAATAAAACACTGGGCTAGTACCTAACGTAGTCACTTCAGAAACAATTCCAACTCTTTCCCTGGCCCATCAAATGGCAGAGGTTACAAAAGGTTCTGTGTGTTTTGGACTGTCCAGCCCTTTATAAGGAGTCCCACATTACCCCAGACCAATGGCAGTGATAATTACACCTTTGTCTCTATCCACACACCTAGCTTCCCCAGTTGTGGATTACCAGGATGGAGATCAGGAATAGGAAAACCAGCTGATTTCTCCCTCCTTTTGAGGCGAGTTGGACATTGGGCTATGCTGCCCAACATTTAGAATCCACCAACTTATGAGCGTGACGAAGACTTGGCGGTCTCTGTGCCTCAGTGCTTTGATGAGTACCTTCACTTGGCAACTGGGGGGCTGCTGGCATGTGCCCGCTTTGTCCATCCTCTGTCACAATCTGCCACCGACATGTTTTGTCTTGCATTTAATTCTGCAGGAGTATGAAGCTCTACTGCAGCATTTAGTCGGTAATTGTCTTACTATTGAAACTGCACTGGCACAGATTCGACGGGACCAGATAGGTCACAACATTTAACTGGCAATGCACCAGCAGCACCACTGAATCTGAAGTACTTAATGAATCAGCTAGATTAATTACTGGTGAGGCACCATGTTAATCAGCAGCAGGAAAAACACAAGAGCTCAATTCGCCAAGATCCTCCAGCAGAAGACTGTGTCAGTCCAGGTCAAATAGCAGTTAAATGACAACTTTCTCAAGATAATACCATCAATAAGATATCATTGCTGCAAAATTGGCAAAGAGGGTGCCTATCATCATCCGTTATATCCCTGCTAAAGGAAACTGGGTATATTCAGAGGAAACATCCAAAGCAGTCACTATAATTTATTAGGTTCATAATCATGCTCTTGCTTTAGCGACAATTCTAGTGGAATGTTTCCCATGGATTGAATGAGGACAAAGCTCTCTTAATGACTTTACCACATCATTTTTTCTCCCAAGCTATTATTTCTATTGACGTTTAGCTTAAAACTAGATTTCTGCTTCCAAGAGTGCTGCCACATTATTGGTCTCCCATTCGAAGGCACTTGCTCACAAGAGGCCAGGAGTAGTCATTTCAAACAGACCTGTCACTCCATGAGGCGCTGGGCATCAGTTGCTGGGCCAGTTACAGGGCACTCTGAAACTATTTAAAGCTGGAGTTACACCCCAGTTAATGCAAGACTACCCCCAAAAATAAACAGTGTGTACTGGTAACCTGATCGGGAACTTACCCCATTTTGGGACTGATGGGCTCACCATTCTGCTGGTCACTTTTAGTGCTAACTTTAGCGATTGGGTGGCTCAGTTGGCTGGATGGCTGGTTTGTAATGCAGAGTGATGCCAAGACCTGCACTGGCTGAGATCACCATGAAGGACCTTCCTTCTCAACTTCTCCCGTCGCTCCACCACCAGAATGAGAGATCAGCCCTACTGTCCTCTGGGACTATGGCAACTTTACCCTAATTTTTAAATCGGTAACCACAAGGCAGGGCAGTGTAACTCCACAACGCAATGCTGCAAGTAGTTCAGAGGTAAGGTGGGGATGTAGTGGTATAATGTCACAAAACTAGGCATCCAGAGGACTAAGTTTATGTGCTGGAGGCACAGCTTCAAGTCTTACCACAGCAGCTTGTGGAAGTGTGCGCGCGCGTGTGCATGTGCGTGTGTGAGAGAGAGTGAAAACGTGTGTGCATCTCAGTCTAGATATGTGAGAGCTCACACCAATGAGTGTGACAGTGAGTGAGTCAGAGTGAATGTGTGTGCTTGCAAGTGAAGGTGTGAGGGTGCGTGTGTGTGTGAGGGTGCGTGTGTGTGTCTCTGTGTGTGTGTGCGTGTGTGTGTGTGTGTGTGTGTATGTGAGGGTGCGTGTGTGAGAGAGGGTGCGTGTGTGTGAGAGAGGGTGCGTGTGTGTGAGAGAGGGTGCCTGTGTGTGGGGGTGCGTGTGGGGGTGCGTGTGTGTATGTGAAGGTGTGTGTGTGTGAGGGTGGGTGTGTGTGAGAGGGGGTGTGTGTGAGAGGGGGTGTGTGTGAGAGGGAGAGAGAGAGTGAGAGAGATAGAGAGAGAAACCGTGTGCGAGAGTGCCTGAGTAGGTGTACGAGAGATAGAAACTCCAGAATACAGCTCTGCTAAGGGCAACAGTTGACTCATTCAACCCTCATCATACTTCAGTCCTGCCAGAAGGACATTTTTCATTTCATATCTGTTCAATGCATATGAGGTCACTAGCTACTACTAACACTGCGCAATGTATTCAAAACATGAGATAACACGTTTAGGGAAGACTAACAAGGCAAGGAAATGCACAATAAATGGTCAGGTGCAGAGAAACAGAGGGACCTTGTCCATGGGTCCTTGAAAGAAGCTGGACAGATAAAATGGTGAAGACGACGCTAGGAATATTTGTCTTTACTGGCACAGAATACATGAGCAGGGAAGTTAAGCTGGAATTGGATTCAGCATGTGTCAGGCTACAACTGGGAGTAATCTGAGCTGTTCTGGTCACTGCATGACAGGAGAGAAGTGACTGGGCTAGAGAGACTGCGGATGAGGTTCAGGCTCCCTGGATTGGACAACTTTAGATATCTACAAAGATTGGATACGCTCGGGTGATTATCTTTGGAACTGAGGACAGACATAATTGGTTACTATAACATAATTAGCCATGTAGACAGAAAGGGGAGGTAAGCTCTTTCCCTTTGGTTGAGGGATCCATAACCAGGGGGGATTAAGGGTAAGGGGTAGGGGATTAGCCCAAGTGAAGGGGATCACTTTGCTGTCGGACAGTGGTGGGAGTTGAGAATCCACTGATTGTACAAGTAGTAGAAACAGAAACCTTCATAACATTGAAACAGCTTGAACTGATACACTTCCGAACCTACAGGGGTTGGGTCATCAGCTGCTAAGTGGGATGAGACAGGATGGTTCCTGGTTGACAAGCAGGAACACAATGGGACAAACAGCCTGCTTTTGTGCTGCAAATTCTTATGACGTTCCCAGACATGGATTTTTACCAAACTAGGATTCAGCTTGGATTCCGATCTAATTCAGACTTTATAGTGACATGCTTCTTCTGTCTCTTCTTTCTCTCATTTCAAACTTATTTCTAGAAGGTTGGACAAAATGACGACAAATTAACTAGGCAGTCCCAAAGCCTAAAATAGAACAAGACTAGTTCTTTCTCTCAAGCCCCTCAAACCTCTCAGAAATATGCATATACAGGAAATACAACAAAATCTACCTGCATTGATGCGATAAAGGGTGTACCCAACCTGTCACATCCTCCCGTCTCCAACATGTTCCCCTTCCCTCCTCCTCTTGCTAGTTTTCAGTCTCTATTCATTGGAGATTATCAACTGGTTACATTTGAAACTTATTAACTATGTCCACTTGTGTGGGATGGTGGGGACCCTCTTGTGGTGTACAGGTAATGTCCCTACCCCTGTACCAGGAGGCCCAGGTTCAAGTCTCACCTGCTCCAGAGGTGTGCAATAACATCTCTGAACAGGTTGATCAGAAAGGAAATAATACTCACCTTCTAATTCACCTTCAGAAGACAACTCGTCATCATCACCATCATCATCTCCCTCTTCATCTTCACTGCTCATGTCAGACAGATCCTCCAGGAAGTCTTCGTCACCCTTCTTTGATTCTCCTGCAATAGAACAGATACAAGTCTAAACGAAGAGAGTCAAGTGGTTTGTCATGTCAATGTGGTTTCTACACAGATATTCAAAGTTATTTTGCTGCAATCAGTATTGACAAGGTGGTGAGAGTGACTGACCCAATGGTACAACCTATTATGCATTTTGATATCTACAGTTATCTCGAAGGTATTGAGACCACAACAATCTATCAAGCCACTGAGACAATGAAACAGGTTTCTCAATACATTCTCCCTGTCTCCATTAAAAAAAAGGTTGAGACAAGGAAACGCGTGAAAGGATCTGATGAGGCTAAGATACTTGCTAGACCTCAGCTAGAGTATTGTGTATAGTAGTGGACACCACGACTATAGGAAAGATGTAAGTGCACTGGAGAGAGTGCAAAAGCACTTTATAAGAATGGTTCCGGTGATAAGAAACTTGAGCACAGTTTGAAGAAGTTGGGACTGTTCTCCTCAGACAGAAGGCAGCTGAGCGAGGATCTGATAGAGGTTTTCAAATTCATGAGTGGGCTAGAGAGAGAGAGAGAGGAACTGTCCCTGCTTGCAAAACAAACAAGAACGAGAGGGCATAGACCTGAAGTGATGTGCAAAAGCAGCAAGGGTGATGTGAGCAACATTTACACACAGGGAGTAGTTAGGGTATGGAATGCACTGCCTGGAAATGTGAAGGCAGGTTCAACTGAGGCTTTCAAGAGGGGCACTGGATGATAATTTGGACGGGTGGAGGCGATAGCCTAGTGGTATTATCGCTGGGCTGTTAATCCAGACACCCAGATAATGTTCTGGGGACCTGGGTTCGAATTCCACCATGGCAGATGTGACTCCAGACCCACAGCAAGGTAGTTGACTCTTAACTGCCCTCTGGGCAATTTGGGATGGGCAATAAATGCTGCCTGGCCAGTGATGCCCTCATCCTGTGAATGAATGGGAAAAAAAAAGTAACAATGTCCAAGGGCATGGGGATATGGATGAGGCAGAGCTCAGCAACAGTAACATGACAATTGCTGAACACCCTACACACACTGTGATCACCATTATCATGCTGTAGGCTTTTGTGATTTTTAAAAAAAAAAATCATAAATAGAATCAGAAGATCTCCAAGTCACTGAACAGAACAGTCTGCAGCTTTTCAGGTATTAATTTATTGAGCTCCTTATCTTCCTTTATTCAGTTTATACGTTCATCCTGAAAATCAATTTGACCAACATACTGGGGGAAGCCAGTGAATTATCTCCAATCAATTTGGAGATGGTGTTAATGTTTAAAAGCATTGCGTTTGTAGAGATTATTATCTGATATCTGTGGCTAGCACTAAAGCCTCCAGATATGTACCTTCCATAGTTTTGCTTTGCTCTCCGACTCTGTGTGTGTGTGTGTTTGCGTGTGTGTGTGTGTGTGTTTGTGTGTGTGTGTGTTTGCGTGTGTGTGTGTGTGTGTTTGCGTGTAGAGTGTGTATTTGTGTTTGTGTGTGTGTGTGAGAGCGTGTATTTGTGTTTGTGTGTGTGTGTGTGTATGTGTGTGTGTGTGTGAGAGAGTGCGCGTGCGAGAGAGAGAGACTGAGAGAGAATGTGTGTGCTAGTGTGTATGCAAGAGACAGTGTGTGTGAGAGAGGGAGACAGAGAGAGAGAGAGTGTGCGTGTGTGTGTGCTTGTGTGCATGTGTTTGTGTGCATGTATGTGTGTATTTGAGAGAGAGAATGTGTGTGCTCATGTGCATGCGTGTGCAAGAGAAAGTGAGTGTGTGTGTGAGAGAGAGGGAGTGAGTGAGTGAGTGAGTGAGTGAGTGAGTGAGTGAGTGAGAGAGTGAGTGAGTGAGTGAGAAAGTGAGTGAGTGAGTGAGTGAGTGAGAGAGTGAGTGAGAGAGTGAGTGAGTGAGTGAGTGAGAAAGTGAGTGAGTGAGGGAGTGAGTGAGACAGTGCGTGTGTGAGACAGAGTGCATGTGAGTGCATGTGTGTGCATGAGTGTTGGGGGAGGTGAAGAGAGAGACAGAGAGAGACAGAGTGTGTGTGTGTGTGTCTCAGTCTGTGCGAGTGTGTGTATACGTGTGCACATTAGTCATGCTGCAGATCAACTTTCTTCAACTCTTAAGAACATTTCTCAAGCTTTGAAAATGGAAAAAAAATTTGCACATAACAGCCTCTCATAACCTCCAGATGAGTAATGGAATATTTTTGAATCTTCTCACACACAGTCTCATCAATGACAATGTGTTAAAAGACCGGCTCAATTGTTCAGTGATTGATCTTTTTGTGCTCTTGATACAAGCTTGGGCCAGACTTCTTGGTGACAATTGAACACTGTTATTGTCACACTGGCCAGAGGAAGTGGTACAATTACAACATTTAAAAGGCATCTGGATGGGTACGTGAATAGAAAGGGTTTAGAAGGATATGGGCCATATGCTGGCAAATGGGACTAGATTAATTTAGGATAGCTGGACGAGTTGGACTGAAGGGTCTGTTTCCGTGCTGTACAGCTCTATGACTCTCAGGCCATGATAGTGAGGATAGCGGAGCAACATGCTCCAATATGTGCACTTCAGATTTCCGAGCAGAACACCAACACCTTGATCATGGAGGTCACGGTGGTATCACAGCTTATCTCAAGAGATTCACTTACATATTCATTAATAAACGATGGTTGATGGATAAATATTTGTCAGGACCCCAGGGGGAACACCTACAGCAGCATCCCCCCCCAGCCCCTTCCTTGACCTCTACTAAAGACAGCAGTTGAATGATACATCCAGAAGTCACCTCTGACAAAACAGCACTCCATCCACACTGCACGGTTGTTGGTTTTTGAGCTCAATTAAGATGCAAACTCACAACCTCCTTAACTCAGGCGAGAGTGCTACCAACACAGATATTAGAATTCCCACTCATTATCTCAATTCTTCAGAACAAAAGTAAAAGCGCATCTTCTTATTATAGATAAGCAGGCTTTATTTGCACCAGTAATGTTGTGCTAATGACACAAGCTAGACCATAAATTGATAACCAGACTCCATTTAGATAGAAACCTTGGTTGGGCAAAACCAGAGGATTGTGGGTCTTTTCAGCGTGCAACCATCAAATTCTCCGGCTTAACCAACCCACACAAAGAGGGGGAGAAAACAAGGGACAAATGATTGCAATCATATTTTGCTGTTGTTACCAAAACCCACATCACAAGGTTTGTTCAGCGTAATTTAATTAAGCTAAAGACATTAACCTCTTCAAATTGCAATCCCCATGGCAAACTAAGGTTTCAAATCCAAAGAGCTCAATTTAACTTACAAGGTGAAAATCGGATTACAACGCAATTTAACTCCTTACGGCCTCCGAGGTGCAGCATGGAGCTGGTGAAGATAGAACTTAAATGCATCGAGCCAGCTGATGAAACCTAAAATGATGGCCTTAAAATCATAGGTCTCCTACCCACACAGAGTCCTTGTTAATTTTAGTGCCTTGCAGTTCTTACATTGTAGATAAATGCAAAACTCTGCCCATGCTATTTTAATCGGGTCAGTTTTGAACATTGGGAGAAGTGTTTAGAAGGTTGAATGCTGGATGTGCAGATCAACAGTAAACTCTGAATCCACAATTATTTGGAGAGACGAAAAGAAAATCAAAAAGAATTCTCCTGGAAGCCATATCAGTATCACTTTGAGAGAGATATCAGAGGCAAGAAGGGCTCAATATCTTTTATCTTCAATGTACTCAGACCACAAATAAGTAATGAAACAGCAGAGGTTGCACCTTTTGGATTTTCACTTGGAGGATGGATGGTGCTCATAAGATCTAGACATTTCAGAGCAATTCTGTTAACAAGTTAAAACATAGAACATTGGATTTTAAACCAACCCAATGCATTTTCACTGAGTTTAATCCCTTTTGAACTCAACCAAACAGGTTTTTATTCTCTTGGTCAAAATCTCAGACACGAGAACTTAAGCGAATGCATTCACCACCCATCGCTTGATGCCAATGCCAGGTTAATTATAGCTTTGCAATAACTTGTTCTTCTCACGTGGAATGAATTGGCATCCACCATATTTATACGGCTGGTTTGTTCAGCTTCTGGTCAATAGTAACCTCTAGAACATCGACAGCGAGCGAATTCAGTGATGGTTATGCCACTGAGTGTCAAGGGGAAACTTAGATTCTCCGTTGTTGGAGGTGCCCATCACCTGGCATTTGTCTGCTGCAATTGTTATACATTATCAGTCATTACCAGCATATTGTTATGTAATCAGTCATTACCAATCACTGGCTCAAGCTTGGATATGTCCAGGTCTTGCTGCATAAGGACACGCACTGCTTCAGTCACAAATAGCACAATCTCATTACATCCTCTTCACAGCATACTTTCCCACCAATCTTTATGCCAACCACAAATTTAGCTACCATTGCCTTGCCTGCTTCACCATTCCTCGTTTAAATAACTGACCTAATTTGTCAAAAGCTGAGACCCCAGCACAGACCCCTGGGGCACATCACTCATCACATCTTGCCAATCAGAAAAAGACACATTTATGCACACCCTCTGTTTTCTGCCAGCCAATCTTTGACACATGCTACTATGGAACCCCTTACATCATGAGCGTCTACGCTGTTCAATAAACTTTTAGATGGCAGCTCTGCAATTCCAAGTGTGGTACATCTACCAACTTCCCTTTGTGCATAGCATCTTCTATTCCTTTTTCCCTTGTGCAGTTATCTGGCTTCCCCTGAAATATTTTGTTGGAAAATGATCCATTTTTCATTTTAAGGTGGTCAATTTTTCTGCAATGAAGTTTGATTCATGATTTTCCTCAACTGCACCTCTGAACACATTGAAGCAACACGTTTATGTCATCCTTCTGCCTATGTTTTGACCAATCCCCTTTTCTAAATAATTACATAACCAATTACAACTGTCTTAGGATAAACATCTGCATCGCAAAACCTTTAAAGATCACATATTAAACGGAATAATTTGCGACTTGCCTCAGAAATTTGTAAGTTT